CTCAAAATAATTAGCGTCCAGGAGTGGGTTAATTAATTTGGGGATTCGAATCATAAGTTTCAGGAGTGATCTTGTGAGGAGAAATATCGGTTCGTTTTTATTCAATCTTAAAGAAATCCTTCAAGATTGGATCGTTACTTCAAGATTGTGGATTTTCTAAAATCTTGACTAAACAAGGGGTTAGAATCCACATCAAATTGGTATCAGAGCTTGTGTGATACCACAATCAAATTGGTATCAGAGCTTGTGTGATACCACATCAAATTGGTATCAGATTTCAGGGGTTTTTGATCGTTCAACACTTCGTTCATCAAATCGCACTTGTTCTCGGATAACCAGTTTTTCTGTCAACTTCAGAAGGCTCGTTCTCCTTCGTTACAAAGTCTTTTCAGGTGATTCTTTTTTTGATTTTGGGTGAAATTTTGTCTACTTTCTGCCTGTGAAATTTCGGAATTTTTCGAGTTCGTGTGCTATTAAACTGGACTGTTTTCCGCAACTGTGTCAGTTTTGGTCCGATTTAATACTTACTGCTCTTTGTGTGCGATTTTCTTCCAAGTTGTGTTGCGATTTTTGAGGGTTATTCCTGTGTGTTTTGGGGTCTTTTAAGTCTGTTTTTGTCTTATAATTATGGAGGAAGCTTTGAGCAAATCTATGGATGAATTTGCAAAGTTACTTCAAGGTCATAAAAAGAAGAAAAAACATGAAGATGATAACGTAGATTTTGGCTTTGGTAACAAACATATGCTTATGGAGCGACTGAATTTACATGAAGAAATTATTTTTTCAAGGTCAACAAGATAGTTTGTTTCATACTCGATGCAAAGTTGTTGATAGAACTTGTAGGGTGATCATTGATAGTGGTTCGTGTACCAATGTAGCGTCTACAGAGATGGTTACTAAACTCCAACTTCCTACAAGAGATCATGAAAAACCATATAAGTTGGGTTGGCTAGATAATTCTATGAGTTTTCATGTAGAACAACAGGCTTTGGTGAATTTCTCCATTCGCAATTACAAGGAAGAGTTATGGTGTGATATTATTCCTATGAGTGCTTGTCACCTTCTTTTAGGGAGACCATGGCAATTTGATCGACATGTTAAACATGATGGTGTGGCCAACACATATTCGGTCAAGGTGGGAAACAAGAGGTTCAAACTTATGCCTTTAACTATTACTCCATGCCGCGTTAAAGTTAAAGAGATGGAGGAAGATTGTCAAAAGGATAAGGAAGAAGAACATGTAGGTGCTAAAGAGCTCGAAGAAAAGGTGAGTGAAACAATTGATGTTCCAATTGTGTGTGACGTTGTTCAAGATCAGATTATTCATAATGATCTACCAATGGTGGTGTCGGAAAAGGTTTTTGATACTATTGAGGAGCCATTCGTGAATCAAGATAATAATTTAATGGTTTCTTTAGAAGTGGTGGATTCATTAGGCATGCATAAAGAGAAGAAATTGTTAGTCATACATGAGAAAAATATCATGAAGCCTAAAGTGTTCTTATGGTCAACTTCGAAGACCAAGGACCAAATTGAGAATTGGTTGTTTCTAAAATATTGCCTTGCTCGTGGTGATGTTGTTACATTGCTTAAAATTGCTAGCGTTGAGGTAATAGTTCTTTTGGCTTGTATTCGTCGAATTTGGATGGTTTCATGGAATTGTTCTCCTTACATGGATGATGCGAATTTGAGGACAAATTCTTTTGAAGAGGGGGAGAATGATGTGGATCAAGAGGGAGATTCTTTTGAAGAGCCAATCATATTGGTTTTAAGGCCAATAGGGTTCGAGCTTGGAGCAAAGAATCAAGAATGGTTAACATGCGCAGCCATTGAAGAAGAAGTCAAGGACCAGTTGGGTTCCGACGACAACAGCGGTGGCGACGCGCCGATCTGGGTGCCACGCGCCGGCTTCCTAGCTCCGGCCTGAGTCCAGCTACACGGTGGTGGGGCGCGTGTCGAGGATGGAGGCGCGTGAGGTGGTAGTTCGGCGGCAGTACAAAAAGAAAGATTTTCTTTACTTAGTTTTTTCTAGAGTTTTGCTTGCAAGTTTTTACCTTTCACTTGAAAGGGTTTTTCTTGGTTTAAGCAATTAGGATAAGTTTATTTTTCTGTCATTTAGTTGCTATAAACTTCATAAGGTGATTAGGAAAGTTTTTAGTTAGTTAGAGTTTGATTAGGAATAAACTACCTAGCAATCTTATCTTTGATAGGATTGAAATTCTATCTTATGTAGGATTATTAGAATCCTATCTAGGTTAGATCTTCTACTTCTAGGAGGACTAGGAGACCTCTTTTGAGGCTTTTAAAAGCTTATTTTCGTGGCTTTGAAGAACACAATCAAAACCAGAAAATTTAATACAAGTTTATTGTTTGTTTTGCTTAATTGCTTACAAATTCTTTTGCTAGTTTTCAATTCAAGGAGTTGGTTGAAGATTAGAACATTAAACACTTAGTGTCTAGGAGTAGGCTAAGAGTTTAATCTCAAAATAATTAGCGTCCAGGAGTGGGTTAATTAATTTGGGGATTCGAATCATAAGTTTCAGGAGTGATCTTGTGAGGAGAAATATCGGTTCGTTTTTATTCAATCTTAAAGAAATCCTTCAAGATTGGATCGTTACTTCAAGATTGTGGATTTTCTAAAATCTTGACTAAACAAGGGGTTAGAATCCACATCAGCTTTTTGAATCAAATTTAAGTCAAACACTTTCAAACAAAGCTAATTGAATCAAATGAAAGTCAACACACTCAAACAAAGCTTTTTGAATAAAATGAATGTCAAATGCATTCAACGAAGCTATATAAATCAAATGAAAGTCAAATGCATTCTATAAAGCTAATTGAATCTAATGAAAGTTAAACACATTCAAACAACACTAATTTAATATAATGAAAGCCAAACACATTAAAATAAATCTTTTTGAAACAAGTTAAAATCTAATGCATTTAACAAAGCTAATTGAATAATTTGAAAGTCAAACACATTCAAACAAATCTAATTGAATCAAATGAAAGTTAAACACATTCAAACAAAGGTTTTAAATCAAATGAAAGCCTAATGCATTCAACAATGCTAATTGAATAAAAAGAAAGACAAATTCATTCTACAAAGCTAATTGAATCAAATGAAAGTAAAGGACATTCAAACAAATCTAATTGAATAAAATAAAAGTCAAACACATTCAAACAAAGCTAATTGAATCAAAGGAAAGTCAAACACATTCAAACAAAGCTAATTGAATCAAATGAAAGTCAAATACATTCAAACAAAGCTAATTGAATCAAATGAAAGTCAAATACATTCAAACAAAGCTTTTTGAGCAAATTAAAGTCAAACACATTCAAACAAAGCATTTTGAATCAAATTAAAGTATAATGCATTCAATAAAGCTAATTGAATCAAATGAAAGTCAAATACATTCTACAAAGCTAATTGAATTAAATGAAAGTCAAACACATTCAAACAAAGCTAATTAAATCAGATGAAAGTCTAATACATTCAAACAAAGCTTTTTGAATCAAATTATAGTCAAATGCATTCAACAAAGTTAATTGAATCAAATGAAAGTAAAACACATTCAAACATAGCTAATTGAATCAAATAAAAGTCAAACACATTCAAACTAAGCTTTTTGAATCAAATTAAAGTCAAACACATTCATACAAAGCATTTATAATCAAATTAAAGTTTAATGCGTTCAACAAAGCTAATTGAATCAAATGAAAGTGATGTGTAAGCAAGATGAGAACCTTGTTACAAAAGTACGTTTTAAGGGGTCTTAGTGAAATCGTGATTAGTGAAGGGGAGAATAGGGGAACACTCAACCCTAGTCTCGGATATAACAAAGGGGAACACTCACCCTTTGCTTGGTGTAGTTAGGAATGGGGAACACTCAACCCACTCGTTCACTACGCAAGTTCCTAGGTTTGGGAACACTCTACCAAAACTAGCACTCTTCAAATTTGAGTTATCAAACTTGGACCTTAAAAATGACTAATTGCTAAGTCACGTTTAATCAACAAAACACAAGTGTTTAAGCAAATTTCTGGATGCCTTTCATTCATGCATAGTACACTATTTATAGTAGTGTATAAGTTACATAAAGGAACATAGGATTCCCTTCTACAATTTTTAATGATCATCCATCACTTGCCTAATTAAAAGACAAGATAAAATGCTAATTATAAGGTGATTAAAAGGCTCATATGACTGTCCAATTAACCCCTCATAACAACAAAGTAAAACTAATCAACTAAGCTTAAAACTATGCTTAAATTAAGGAGAAAACGTTCAGCAATCATGAGGTCTTCAAACAGCATTTTCAACGTCCAAGAAAACATGCAAACAACCCCCTTGAGTCACGCTTGTAACCTCCCATTTAAACCCTTGATTCAAGCTCCTTTATTCTAGCAACAACTCTCTAATTAAGTACATGTAAACCCCAAGTAAAGAGGTAGAATAATCAGCCAACTAATGCCTTAATTCACGCCCAACACAAGCCTTGAATCACGCTGTCAAAATCAGTCCAATGTAACTCCCAAATGCATAAATCATGCGTGGCTTCAAGCTTGGAAAAACGGCTCATGTACTAGATACCTTCAACAAGATTAATTACACTAAGGGAAGTGTAACCATTTGTTAAACTCTTTGGACTAAAACCGTGCATAGGATTGAAGAATGATTTAGACAAGAATAATCCCTTAGCACCTTGCTCAATAGCACCGTGTTGAACCTCCTCATCTTGACCATGGATAGTTGACCCTTGACCATCTTGGTCATCTTCCCCTTCTTCAAAAGGAATTGCCCTCAATTCGTCATCATCAAAGTAAGGAGCAAGATCACCAATGTTGAATGTACTTGAGACACCATATTGGCCTCCCAAATCTATTTTGTATGCATTGTCATTGATCTTTTCCACGACCTCAAACGGACCCTCGGCTCTTGGCATAAGCTTGTTCTTCCTTTTGCTAGGAAAACGTTCTTTCCTCATGTAAATCCACACCAAGTCCCCAACTTCAAAAGACTTCATATTTCTAACTCGTTTGTTGGCTTGTTTCTTGTAGATTTCATTTGCCTTTTCAATGTTTCTTCGAACTTCTTTGTGGACTTTTATCATGAACTCGGCTTGCTCCTTTGCCCCACCATGAACGAACTTGTCTTTTGGCAAAGCAATAAGATCAATGGGAACATAAGGGTTAACGCCATATACTACTTCAAAAGGAGAGTACTTCGTAGTAGCACTAGGTGTCCTATTATAAGCAAACTCGGCATGAGCAAGCTTATTATCCCAATCTTTGGTACTTTTGCTTACCAAAGCCCTAAGCAACGAACCAAGTATCCTATTCACCACTTCCGTTTGACCATCGGTTTGTGGATGATGTGAGGTAGAAAACAATAACTTAGTTCCCATCAAACGCCATATAGACTTCCAAAAATGACTTAGGAACTTAGTGTCACGATCCGACACAATGGTGCGTGGCACCCCATGAAAACGAACCACTTCTTCGAAGTATAACTTAGCCACTTTTACTGCATCTTCAGTTTTATGGCAAGGAATGAAATGAGCCATTTTTGAAAACCGATCAACCACCACCATTATCGAATCCTTGCCTCTTTGAGTTCTTGGCAAAGCTACAATAAAATCCATACTAACATCTTCCCAAGGTCTCTCGGGAATTGGTAAGGGCTTGTAGAGACCTTTATGAAACACCATCTTTGCTCTTTGACAAGTAGAACAACGACTCACCACATGATGAACCGTGGCTAACATTTTCGGCCAATAAAAGTGAGCTTGGAGAAGCTCCAATGTCTTGTGAATACCAACGTGACCAGCTAGCCCTCCCCCATGAGCTTCATGTATCAACAAACTTCTAATGGGACATTTTGGAATACATAATCTATTTCCTTTAAAAAGAAAACCATTATGTAAGGAAAACAGATCATAGACTCCATGGACACAGTTATCAATTATCCTTTTGAGTTCATCATCTTCTTGATAGTATTCTTTGATCAAATCGAACCCAAGTACCTTTGCTTCAACCATTCCAAGCAAATTATGCCTTCGAGATAAGGCATCCGCAACCACATTAGCTTTCCCACTCTTGTATTTAGAGGAAAAGTTAAATGTTTGCAAGAATTCGACCCACTTTGCATGTCTTGCATTCAGCTTCTTTTGGCCATGTATGAACCTCAAGGATTCATGATCGGAATGCAATATGAAAGGTTGTGGCCTCAAGTAATGTGACCAATGATCTAGAGCTCTTACCATAGCATAGAACTCTTTATCATAGGTGGAGTAATTCAACTTGCCTTGACTCATCTTCTCACTAAAGTAAGCAATGGGACGCCCACCTTGAATCAATACGGCACCAATACCCTTTCCACTTGCGTCACATTCAACCTCAAATGGTTTGGAAAAATCCGGAAGTGCTAAGATGGGTGTGTTGCACATCTTCTTCTTGACTTCTTCAAATGCCCTTTGAGCTTGGGGTGTCCATTCAAACACGCCTTTCTTAGTACACTCGGTGATGGGAGACATGAGTGTGCTAAAATTCTTGATGAATCTTCTATAGAAGGAGGCAAGTCCATGAAATGAACGAACTTCCGTGAGTGTCCTTGGACTAGGCCATGATTGGATTGCTTCAATTTTGCTAGGATCCACCTTCACGCCATCACCTGAAACTATGTAACCAAGAAACATGACTTCATACAATAAAAAATCACATTTTTCTAGTTTCCCATACAATTTTTCTTGCCTCAAAACAGAAAATACTTGGAAAAGATGATCAAAATGAGATTCTTCATCACGTGAATAAATGAGAATGTCATCCAAGTATACTACCACGAACTTGCCAAGAAATGGCCTTAGCACCTCATTCATTAATCTCATGAACGTGCTAGGGGCATTTGTAAGGCCAAATGGCATGACGAGCCACTCATACAACCCATGCTTTGTCTTGAACGCGGTTTTCCATTCATCCCCTTCTCTCATGCGAATTTGATGATACCCACTTCTCAAGTCTACCTTTGAGAAGACCTTGGAACCACTTAACTCATCAAGCATGTCATCAAGCCTTGGAATTGGAAACCTGTACTTGATAGTAATGTTATTAACGGCTCTACTATCAATACACATTCTCCAAGTACCATCTTTCTTAGGGACCAACAAAGCAGGAACGGCACATGGACTCATGGACTCACGCACATAACCCATCCCCATTAGCTCTTCAATTTGACGTTGTAATTCCTTAGTTTCTAAAGGGTTACACCTATAGGCTGGCTTATTTGGCAAAGGTGCTCCGGGAATGAGATCGATTTGATGCTCAATTCCACGTATGGGTGGTAGTTCTTTAGGTAATTCATTCGGAAAAAACGTCCTCAAAATCCTTAATCAATTGGGCTAACTTAGGATTTTGAGCAACAAAATTTTCGTGGGTTTCTTTGGAGTATAGTATGAACAACTCTCCCTCACCATCTAACTCCCTTTCAAACTCTTTAAGAGACAACAAGGATACTTCTTTTTGGGGTGTTTGTGATGGTGAAAACCGTGGGGGTGGTAAAGGGTGTAGTTTTTTCTTTCTCCCTTCATGGACTATGGTATACGTGTTGTGATACCCATCATGTATAGATCTTTTATCAGTTTGCCAAGGCCTACCAAGTAGAATATGACAAGCATCCATGGACACAACATCACATAATATAGAATCACAATACGAACCAATACAAAAAGAAACCATGCATTGCTTCCTAACCCCAGTGCTAGCATTAGAATCTAACCAACTTAATTTGTAAGGTTGTGGATGATTAGTAGTCGTAAGACCAAGTTTAGATACTAGGGTCTTAGACACGGTATTAGCCTCACTTCCTCCATCAATAATCAAATCACATACCTCGTCACCAATTTTACAACGGGTGATGAAAATGTGTTGTCGTTGGGGGGCAGCATCCTCTTCCACACGTGCTTGTAAGGCCCTCCTAATCACGAGGCTAGTCTTCTCCTCTGGCTCGGCAATGCAATCATCACAATCATCTTCAACTTCTTCTTCCCCCTCCTCAAACTCATCCCAGTTGATGTTTTGAGTGGCCATGAGCTTAACCTCTTGTATGGTTAACGCCCTAGTATTAGGACAATCCTTCTTGTAATGACCTCGTCCTCCACATTTGTAACACACAATGTCACCTAGCTTCACGTCCTTTGTGTCCTTTTTTGGTGGATTACTTGGTTTGTTAAAGGAAGAACCTTCCTTCGTAGGAAAAGAAGGTTTTCGTGCAAATTGAGGAATGGTAGTAGGCTTCTTCTTCTTCCTCTTAGCATCGAACTTAATCACCAACTTGCAAGCTTCAGCAAACGTGAGGTTAGTATAACCTTCAAGTTTGTCTTGTAATTCTTGGTCCAAACCAGATATGAAACGCCCCATTTTGAGCTCTTCATTTTCGGTTACTTCACACACAATAGCAAGTCTATCAAACTCTTTTATGTAATCCTCCACAGAGTCCCCATTTTGTTGCAAGGTACTCCACTTCACATATTGACTCTGCTTGTAATTGTGGGGGATGAAACGGTCTTTCATCCGTTTCTTGAGTTTGCCCCAAGTAGAGATAGGAGCTTTCCCCCTAAGGGTACGTCCCCTCTGCTCTCCTTGTAGCCAACTATCACCATAGCCCTTCAACTTGACTTTGGCAATCTTAAAACGTTGAACATCCTCATGAATGTCCTTGTATTCAAAGTACCTTTCCAAGGATTTCTCCCATTCCAAGTACTTCTCTGGATCAAGTGTCCCATCAAAAGAAGGGACGTCCACTTTGAGACTCCTATCTTCCCTCCTAGGTGGAGGGTCTTCATCTTGATCTCTCCTATCTTGCTCGTTCATGAGCCTTGCCATCAAGGCAGCAAGGTTCCCTTGTAGATTGGCATTGGTTTCGGCCAACCTTTCTTGACTAGCAATGGATCGATTAAGAGCTTCCAAGGCTGTCCTCAAGTCTTGATTCTCTCCCATGGTGTGTAGGTATACGACCCCTTAGGAAATGTTTAGGAAAACACCCCCTACCTGACGCGCCAAATGATGTGTAAGCAAGATGAGAACCTTGTTACAAAAGTACGTTTTAAGGGGTCTTAGTGAAATCGTGATTAGTGAAGGGGAGAATAGGGGAACACTCAACCCTAGTCTCGGATATAACAAAGGGGAACACTCACCCTTTGCTTGGTGTAGTTAGGAATGGGGAACACTCAACCCACTCGTTCACTACGCAAGTTCCTAGGTTTGGGAACACTCTACCAAAACTAGCACTCTTCAAATTTGAGTTATCAAACTTGGACCTTAAAAATGACTAATTGCTAAGTCACGTTTAATCAACAAAACACAAGTGTTTAAGCAAATTTCTGGATGCCTTTCATTCATGCATAGTACACTATTTATAGTAGTGTATAAGTTACATAAAGGAACATAGGATTCCCTTCTACAATTTTTAATGATCATCCATCACTTGCCTAATTAAAAGACAAGATAAAATGCTAATTATAAGGTGATTAAAAGGCTCATATGACTGTCCAATTAACCCCTCATAACAACAAAGTAAAACTAATCAACTAAGCTTAAAACTATGCTTAAATTAAGGAGAAAACGTTCAGCAATCATGAGGTCTTCAAACAGCATTTTCAACGTCCAAGAAAACATGCAAACAACCCCCTTGAGTCACGCTTGTAACCTCCCATTTAAACCCTTGATTCAAGCTCCTTTATTCTAGCAACAACTCTCTAATTAAGTACATGTAAACCCCAAGTAAAGAGGTAGAATAATCAGCCAACTAATGCCTTAATTCACGCCCAACACAAGCCTTGAATCACGCTGTCAAAATCAGTCCAATGTAACTCCCAAATGCATAAATCATGTGTGGCTTCAAGCTTGGAAAAACGGCTCATGTACTAGATACCTTCAACAAGATTAATTACACTAAGGGAAGTGTAACCATTTGTTAAACTCTTTGGACTAAAACCGTGCATAGGATTGAAGAATGATTTAGACAAGAATAATCCCTTAGCACCTTGCTCAATAGCACCGTGTTGAACCTCCTCATCTTGACCATGGATAGTTGACCCTTGACCATCTTGGTCAGAAAGTCAGATGCATTCAACAAAGCTAATTGAATCAAAAGAACGACAAACACATTCAAACAAAGCTTTTTGAAAAAAATTAAAGTCTAATGCATTCAACAAAGGTAATTGAATCAAATGAAAGTCAAATGCATTCTACAAAGCTAATTGAATCAAATGAAAGTCAAACACATTTAAACAAGCTTTATGAATCAAATTTAAGTCAAACACATTCAAACAAAGCTAATTCACTCGAATGAATGTCAATCCCATTCAAACAAAGCTTATTGAATAAAATGAATGTCAAATGCATTCTACAAATCTAATTGAATCAATGGAAAGTCAAACACATTCAAACAAAGCTAATTGAATCCAATGAAAGTCTTATGCATTCAACAAAGCTAATTGAATCATATGAAAGTCAAACACATTCAAAAAAAGCTAATTGAATCAAATGAAAGTCAAACACATTCAAACAAGCTTTATTAATCAAATTTAAGTCATACACATTCAAACAAAGCTAATTAAATCAAATGAAAGTCAAACCCATTCAATGAAAGCTAATTATATCAAATGAAAGTCAAACACATTCAATCAAAGCTTTTTGAATCCAATTTATCAAACACATTCAAACAAACCTAATTAAATCAAATGAAAGTCAACACACTCAAACAAAGCTTTTTGAATAAAATGAATGTCAAATGCATTCAACAAAGCTAAATGAATCAAATGAAAGTCAAATGCATTCTACATAACTAATTGAATCAAATGAAAGTTCAAAACATTCAAACAACACTAATTTAATCCAATGAAAGCCAAACACATTCAAATAAATCTTTTTGAAGCAAGTTAAAGTCTAATGCATTCAACGAAGCTAATTTAATTAAATGAAAGTCAAACACATTCAAACAAAACTAATTGAATCAAATGAAATTTAAACACATTCAAACAAAGCTTTTTAAATCAAATGAAAGTCTAATGCATTCAACAAAGCTAATTGAATCAAATGAAAGTCAAATGCATTCTACAAAGCTAATTGAATCAAATGAAAGTCAAACACATTCAAACAAAGCTTTTTGAATCAAATGAAAGTCAAATGCATTCAACAAAACTGATTGAATTAAATGAAAGTAAAATGCATTCTACAAAGCTAATTGAATCAAATGAAAGTCAAACACATTCAAAGCTTATGAATCAAATGAAATCCTAATGCATTCAACAATGCTAATTTAATCAAATGAAAGACAAATGCATTCTACAAAGCTAATTGAATCAAATGAAAGTCAAACACATTCATACAAAGCTTTTTGAATCAAATTTAAGTCAAACACATTCAAACAAAGCTAATTGAATCAAATGAAAGTCAAATACATTCAAACAAAGCTTTTTGAATCAAATTAAAGTCAAACACATTCAAACAAAGCATTTTGAATCAAATCAAAGTCTAATGCATTCAACACATATAATTGAATCAAATGAAAGTCAAATGCATTCTACAAAGCTAATTGAATCAAATGAAAATCAAACACATTCAAACATTGCTTTTTGAATCAAATTTAGGTCAAACACATTCAAACAAAGCTAATTAAATCAAATGAAAGTCAATACACTCAAACAAAGCTTTTTGAATAAAATGAATGTCAAATGCATTCAACGAAGCTAATTGTTTCAAATGAAAGTTAAACACATTCAAACAACACTAATTTAATTCAACGAAAGCCAAACACATTCAAATATATCCTTTTATATCAAGTTAAAATCTAATGCATTCAACAAAGCTAATTGAATAAATTAAAAGTCAAACACATTCTAACAAAGCTAATTGAATCAAATGAAAGTTAAACACATTCAAACAAAGCTTTTTGAATCAAATGAAAGTCTAATGCATTAAACAAAGATAATTGAATAAAATGAAAGTCAAATTCATTGTACAAAGCTTATTGAATTAAATGAATGTCAAAGCTAATTGAATCAAATAAAAGTCAATCATATTCAAACAAAGCTTTTTGAATCAAATGAAAGTCTAATGCATTAAACAAAGCTAATTGAATCAAATGAAAGTCAAATGCATTCTACAAAGCTTATTGAATTAAATGAATGTCAAAGCTAATTGAATCAAATAAAAGTCAATCATATTCAGACAAAGCTTTTTGAATCAAATTAAAGTATAATGCATTCAATAAAGCTAATTGAATCAAATGAAAGTCAAATACATTCTACAAAGCTAATTGAATTAAATGAAAGTCAAACACATTCAAACAAAGCTAATTGAATCAAATGAAAGTCAAATACATTCAAACAAATCTTTTTGAATCAAATTATAGTCAATTGCATTCAACAAAGCTAATTGAATCAAAGGAAAGTCAAACACATTCAAACAAAGCTAATTGAATCAAATGAAAGTCAAAATCATTCAAACAAAGCTAATTGAATCAAATGAAAGTCAAATACATTCAAACAAAGCTTTTTGAATCAAATTAAAGTCAAACACATTCAAACAAAGCATTTTGAATCAAATCAAAGTGTAATGCATTCAACACAGATAATTGAATCAAATGAAAGTCAAATGCATTCTATAAAGCTAATTGAATCAAATGAAAATCAAACACATTCAAACATAGCTTTTTGAATCAAATTTAAGTCAAACACATTCAAACAAAGCTAATTAAATCAAATGAAAGTCAATACACTCAAACAAAGCTTTTTGAATAAAATGAATGTCAAATGCATTCAACAAAGCTAATTGAATCAAATGAAAGTTATACACATTCAAACAACACTAATTTAATTCAACGAAAGCCAAACACATTCAAATATATCCTTTTGTATCAAGTTAAAGTCTAATGCATTCAACAAAGCTAATTGAATAAAATAAAAGTCAAACACATTCAAACAAAGCTAATTGAATCAAATGAAAGTTAAACACATTCAAACAAAGCTTTTTGAATAAAATGAAAGTCTAATGCATTAAACAAAGCTAATTGAATCAAATGAAAGTCAAATGCATTCTACAAAGCTAATTGAATTAAATGAATGTCAAAGCTAATTGAATCAAATAAAAGTCAATCATATTCAAACAAAGCTTTTTGAATCAAATTAAAGTATAATGCATTCAATAAAGCTAATTGAATCAAATGAAAGTCAAATACATTCTACAAAGCTAATTGAATTAAATGAAAGTCAAAGCTAATTGAATCAAATAAAAGTCAATCATATTCAAACAAAGCTTTTTGAATCAAATTAAAGTATAATGCATTCAATAAAGCTAATTGAATCAAATGAAAGTCAAATACATTCTACAAAGCTAATTGAATCAAATGAAAGTCA